TGGAAATATTCCTCTATTTTAAAGTTCCTGAGGAAGACATTCATGTTTGGCATTTAACAACTATTAGAATAATCCATTCTTTGTGACTAGAACGTTAAAAGATCTTTGCTCAATATGGTATATAAAATCTTTAATACATCGCATGTAGAATAATATCAAATTCATTCTGGCATTTGTTTCTATTTAACTATTAAAAAGACAGAATACTCACACAAACTTTGGATTAGTGCAAAATACTCCTATTTTTAGAGTACTAGTATACGCAATAAGATTTACATCACTTTATGATTCTTCTATATTACTAAAATCTTGAGCTTTTTTCATTAGATCAGATTTGCCATGATATTTCTTAATTCGTAATTCTGAAAAATTAGTCTTGAAAGCATAAACAATTTCTAATATATCCTTTCTAAGATAGCAGATAAGTGAAGTACTTTTCTGATTTTTAAATGGTAGTGAATACATTTTCTTGGCCCAATTCTAGAATTCAGCTAATACAGTTTCTTTATTAGGAGCTAAGTAAAATGTCTTACCTTTCTGAGACTGATAAGTATTGTGGATAATTGAGAATGATTTATCCTTATAAAGGGTTTTAATCTATTCAATATTTAGATCAGTTAGATCATTATTCATGATAATAATGCGTCTTACGTCTTAAACTAATTTATATAACTTTTCTATTGATTATCTGGCCAAATAATTCTGTGTCTAAGCAATTATAAACAATATTTCATCAAGTCATAAATCATATTAGATTGGAAGACATTTGCATTTTTTATTACATTTACAATTATTGGTAATATAATGTAAGCTTTCTATTTGATATACTACTTTCTTGTAATCAGGTAAATTTATATTACTATTGATATCACAATATAATTTAAAATTGAGTCTTATAGTAACAGCATTTGAGTAAGAGTAATATGTAGATAATACTAAAAATTCACGTCATCAGATATAGTAAGATTTAAAGATGACACTGCAACTGGTTACAACTGGTAACAAATAAGCATCATAGGATTTAATTGATTGCAACATTAATAAAAATTGAGTTGCAACTAGTTGCAACCAGTAACAAATAAGTATTACATAGTTGCAACTAGTTGCAGCATTATCTTTACAGTAAGATGCTATAAAACATATATTTTTTCTGTCTTCCAAGATGATCCTACATAGATATCACCTTTATTAGGTAATAGTCTTATATATCTCTTCTTATATATTTCTGTTGCTATAAGGGTTTCATTATACTTAACCTAAGATGGTATTTTTACGAAGACTTTAGGAAAACTTAGACCCTTTATCCTGTGAGAGGCGGGAGATAAATTTTTATTTTCTTTCTAAATTTTTTCTGCAATAGCTAGATCACATTCAAAAACTTCCTTACGCTTATCACTATTTTGCTGAAAGCATTTTACAATGAACATTCTACTGCTAGCACATATATGACTAAACTATCACTGATTCTTATCAAGTATGTGTTTATATTGTAAACATTTTAGTGGAGCTTTCTGGTTAAAATATACAAAGTTTTGTGAGTTCTTTTCTTTGATAGTCTAATCCCTAAAATAGTTAGAATGTTTCTGCAAAATAAGATCTATGCATTTTTATAATATATTATGACCTACTATTATTTTTAGTGGATTGTTATTTTTTTCTATACTAAATAATCAGGATCTTACTTCAAATTCTAAGCTAGTAGGTGGCTGAACTCTAGTATGATTGAGATCATTTCACTCATTATCTAGTAAGAATTGAAGAATGCGCTTCACATGACCTTTTTTGCTGAACTGATAAGGCAAAGGTTAAAATTCTAACTAGATAATTATCAATCAATATACTTACTAAATTTCTTTTTAGTTAAGGTATATACTAATTCTGTGAATGCTTTGAGTTTATAATGAATCAATAAAGAGAGCTGATGCATATAAAACGTGGTAGCTACACTTACTAGGATCTGATGATGTAGAGATTACCAATCCTTTGAGAATATCTTTCCAGCTACAATCAGAATTCAATATAAAACTTATAAAAGATAAACAGATTCGAATAAATACTTCTTATGCCTTAATACTATTTACTTTCATATCTTTTTATAAAGCATCTATATCGATTATAGTTCTTAAAGGATTCTGACTATTAATACATTCATGAATTTTAGGCAAGCCATATACTTTAAAAATATTATTTGCAACAGAAAACTTTGGGACTCAATCATCATCTTGGTCAATTTTAATAACTAATTTATCTTCTACTTCATCTTAGTTATAAGCATTATATAAACTAGACTCTATTTCATTCAGAAAAAAAAATAAATAAATTAGAAAACATTCTAATAATCCCTTTTCATCTGATATATCTCTAGGTGGTAATAGAAAAATTTCTCAAATGACATTTAGCAAGTCCTTAGAAGAAAAATTATCATTAAACTTTTTCTGCCTTAAAGTATATACCACATTAATTTTTTGCTTTTTTACGTTTGGTAGTTGAACTAATGGAATCTTGATAATGCTAGTTAAAGCTCAGAGAGCTTCTTCATTATCTGTCTCATAATTAGACTCATAGTCATTATAATCATCTGACCCTAAGTCAGATCTATTATTAGTATAACTGCTTAAGTTATTTAAATATTTATCAGGGTTGGCACAATCATAGCGGGCAGTTTCAGTACAATCAGTTTATTTGAAAATAGTTAAGGTAAGCATATCGTTAGTTTGAAAAGGTTTATATTACTTTATAAAATTCAGAAATGTTTAATTATTTTTTTGATGAATGCAAAAAAGAAGTGATATCGAACTTAGTCAGTAAATCATAAAAGAAATACAACTTAATATACCTTAAAAAGTGTAACCTTCTGCGTAATCTATTATATAAAAATTAGCAGAAGGCTACACTTTTTAGACATGTACTCGAATATGATATAAATAGGCTGGCTATAATAATACGCAATGTAACTAAAAGTAAAGGTATCTGCAGAATTATATATAAAAATATAGCAGATGCCTTCACTTTTTTAGATATTTACTCAGGTATGATATAGCCTCTGCATAAGACTTATCCTTCTTAAATATGTATCCAGATATGATATAAAAGCTTCTTCAGAAATATTAACACTTGGCTATTCTATCATTAGTATGAATTCAGAAAAGTGTTAATTGAATATACATCCAGAAGATAAGTCTTCTTCAGCCTTACTCTTAGTATCAAATAGGAGATCAAAAGCAGAATTAAACCTAACCAGTAATATTGTGTAAGTAAAAGTATTACTACTTATTGTGATTTTTATTTTGTATATGTGTTATCACTATTATGTTCCCAATCAATCACAAAATGGGGATAATGTATATACGAATAAAAGTTATAAGAAGATGACAGAAAAGTATCCAGAACTAAAGGCACAGTAAAATTAACGAAAATTTTGGCCAACACTATTTCATGATTTTAGCCAGAACTTTGGACATAATAATTCTGCATCCAAGCTGGTGAATTAATAGAAGCCTCCCTAGCATTCTGACAGTTTCTCACTAGTTCCATGACAGCTCTAGGATATTACCAAGTTGCTACCATGATGCCAGCTTGGATCCTCCAAATCATATGTCCTAAAGATCAGCCAAAATTATGGTATAATGCTAGTCAAAATTATCCACGAATTTATTGCACTACCTGACACCATATTTTTTTTACCACATTTTGGTATTTAGAAAGGCAACCAAATAGGCGCAAAGGGTAAGCATTTCAATATAGAATCCAGTATCCAACCAGGTGTAAGGGTTAGCATCTTTAACATAAAACCAGATATCTAAACAGCTACAGAGGACCAACAATTCCATTAAAGAATTTAGCATGTAAACAACTCAGAAACAAGAAGAAGAGCGTGGTATTTAGATTATATAGTAGTAGTTAAGTTAAATGGTAGGTGGTAGTAAGATTATATGGTGGTAAAAAATACAGATAGCAAGAAAGATTTAAAAGGATAGCTAGAGCATAAAAAATGATACCTGATACGCGAAAATAAATAGATTATATGGTGGTAATTAGATTATATTATTTAGATTATATATGGTGATAATTAGATTATATTATTTAGATCATATGGTGGTACCCAGATTATATGGCGGTATTTAGATCATATAGTGGTACCCAGATTATATGGTGGTAATATAATCTAGAGCAAGTGGTATCCCACTCCTTAAAGCAGCATAGGGCAAGATACCTCCTATGACCAACTACTCGATACGAATATTGACTGTGAGTTGTATCATTAAAACCGTCAAAAGACAGCGCATTCTCACCTTAAAAAAAAAAATCTTCAAGAATAATAACTGCAAATACTTCCACGTCAAACTCCAGCCGCTACTTAGTTTATATAAGAAAATAAAAGAAAAAAAAAATTAGGGAATAAATAAAAATAAAATTAACAAAAACCAAATACCTTACTATATACCGTTTTGGACAACAACTTTGCAGGTTAAAATATTCTTGTCTGTCGTCCGTCGTGGGAAAAAGGTAATCTTTTGGAATACGCGTCCGCGTAAAATATAAATATGGCAAAATCATGTGATCATATAATTACGAAATTATTCGATAATTTTCCAAATAAAAATAATATCGATATATCGATATTAATGAGATTTAACAGTGCAACCAATTATAGCAAATGCAACCACCACCAAAAGAATATATGGAGCTTCCACTGTGCTTTTATATGGCAATTAAGGGAGTTCCTAGTAAGTTTTTATTCGTTTCCGTAAAATTATATGCGAAGAGTACAATCAAACATAACACCACATAAAAAAAAAAACTATTCGAATGAAGCAATATTAACGATAAGCAATTCTTTTTACTATGATCCGTGGTATCACGTAAATTTCACGAAGGCGTTTAAAAGAGAACGTTACTAAACTGCTAATTTATTTGCTACAAATTTATTATAGAGATATAATCAACTAAATGAATTAGATTCACTGTAAATTTTAAAAAAAGAAAATTTAATATATTTCTTAAAAAAAGAGGCTTGTAAATTCATTAATTATAGCATATGCACAGCCTAAAATATCGCTTTCTGAATTTCCAACACCAGCTCCCATAATATAATTACTAGGTAAGTTGTTTGGTACTAAAACATCCACAGATTGAGAATACGAGTCCCCAGCTTTAATTGGACACCCACTTCCAGTACAAGCATCTGTAACAAAAGGGGGTGCTATGGGTTGTTTAGAGAAATCAGCAAATGCAACCACAAGTTTGGTTTGTGCGGTGACATCTTTTGAAAATGTTCCGGAAACAGAAACTTTAACATTTGTTCCAGCGACGGGAGGATCGGGTGAAATAGATACTTGGAGTAAGGCTGGTGCGCTCGATGCCCCTGGTGTGAAACATGCATTAAAGCTGGTTCTTTTAAGAAGTTTATGAGGAATTGCATTGACCATTGAAAGCGTAGCCAATAAAAGGAATACAAAAATAAATTTTCGGTTCATGACGGACTTTTTTTTTTTTTGTTTGTGAATATTAATTATCAAATAAGTTTGAATTGTTTGCTTTTTATAAGAAAAAAAGGTCGGATTCCTTAAAAATTATACTACTTAATGAAGTTGAATGATTATAAGTATTAGTTTTTATGAACAAATATGACGTCTCAAAGTGGCTTATGTATAATAATAATGCGTCAGCCTTAGCACGGTTTTGTATTAATTTAGTTAAATTTTATGTTACAACATTTCGATTTTCTCTAAAAATGTCTAGTGTGGTAAGTGATGTAAATTTTGACTGCGCAGGTAACTGCGCCACACGAACCCATTTTTTTCTCGAATTCTATTTCGAACTTCCAAATTTTTTTTTTACAAGTTCCTTGATAACTAAACACCAAACTTATTTCATGACGACGATATCAAATTATCAAAAGTCTATGCGTATTCAAGCCGTAATCATGATACACCATTTCGAAATTCAAATGGACAGCACATCAAATGCAAGTTAAATGATTAGAAAAAGTTTGATCCGAAGGAATTTGATGGAAAATCGGTTTCAGATATATGTGAATCTTTTTTATTTGATTAGATGTGATAATGATCAGATACAAAGTACAACTTTGTGTTTTTAGCGCCGAGGATACTTATTATTATGCAAGGAGTAATTCATATAAAAGACAATGTTTTCGACGTGTATACCGTATATACAGCAACCAAGTTGTGCGTGATTTGATTTATAACAAGTGGATCAAGCTAGACCTTATTTTTTTTTTTTTTTTAATAATTTTTAACAATTAAGCAAATTAAGCGAGGTTGGAAAAATGAAAAAAGTTAAATTAGTCCAACATAATTCATTTCTTTCATATGATAATGTTTTATTTAGAATATTGATTAAAAATAAATTATAACCTTTACTCGGGAATCCCGAATCTTTATTTTGGGTGAGTCCCAAGGACTAGTCATATCGAAGATCATTTTTTTTTTAAAAAAAAAAAAAAAACAATAATATTTATAAATGATCGAAATGATCAAAACCAATTTTGATATCAAATAATTAATTTGCAAACGAATCTTATTTTCAAACGGAAGCCCTATGCTCGGTAATATTCTTTGAGTAAACCTATTAAATTTTTGCTGTCATTTTTTGTTTGTTGATAACGAACGGATGTTGATATTGCTTTCTTAATTTGTTTATAATGATTACGAAGAAAGGTAAACGACTTATTTAACATTAATAAAACGATTGTTGTTTTTTAGACGTATTATTAATTGGATTTTGTTATATCAAAAACGAATCTAATGAAATTTTGCTGAATCTAAAGAATTTAATAGAAATTGCTTTAGATTAGCTTCATACCTCTGAAAACGTTTTCTTACGCTAATTTTCATTATCGGGATGAAGAAATCTTGGCAATTTGCCATTTCGAACTATACCAGTAATAACGAACGCAATATGCATTTATTTTTGATAATAAGTTGATTCAATGTGAAATGAGTGATACAATCAGAGCTAAAAATGATAACGATAAGGAAAATAAAAAGAACATAAATTCGATAAATCACTTACTCATTTTGTTCATCCATTTATTTTTTTTTTAATTATTTTAAAAAGTTAATCAAGTAGAACAGTTAGCACAAACATATGTACAGTAAATTTCTTATAATTTCTTTTTAATAATTTTATTGATTTATTATGTTGTTTACAAGGGAATATTGACACATGACTTTTGCAAAATTCTTGAACTTTAATCTATTAAAATATGTATCTTGGATCAATTATTACATTCTTCGTTAAAAATTCGTAATATGTAATAAAAATATTATTGTAGTTTAAACCAATGGATTGCTTTAAAAATTTGAGAAAATAAAATAATTACGGAATTATCAAAATAATAATATTAATAATAAAAATAAAAATAAACAAACCAAAACTAATCTACAAACGTAAAGTTAAAAAAAAATGGTTATCTATTACTTCTGAATTAATAAACTCGAAAGAAAAAAAGAATGATAAATCAAAAGGGCGAAAAAATTTTGATAGTTGTTGTGACCAGTGATCGAAACCCCAAAGTAAAAAAAAAAGATTAAAAAAAACTATGAAACTAAAAAAACGCATTCGTACTTTTGAAATGAACGAATTTGAAAAAAAAATAAAACAAAGTTTTTCTTTTTATTGTTTTTGTTAACCTTTTTGGTGATTATCAATTTGTGATCAAAAAATCGCTACGTGATTGGTTCGCTTTTTAAGGAGTAATTAATTATAATCGGATGGTTGAAAGTAAAAAGAAGGAAAAGAAATATAAAAACCAAGTAGACCAAGAAATGACGAGAACCAATTTGATAAGTCAATAAAGTGTTAATAAAATATTCGTATTGTTACATTGGATATAATTCTACCCGAAAAAAAAATTTAACACAACGCTAAATGATTTGATTATCGGATGGCTCAATAAATGCTAAAAATTTATAATCTCAATTTTTATGATATATATATATAGTAAAATTGACATTATTTTAAACCAACCAACATAATTCATTTATATAAAATATTAGTAGATAATCATAAAGTTTTCATTTTTATTAGATAAAATTACGAGATAAAGTTTTTATATTACATGTTTATTAACGCCTATTTTTTAAAACATAAATTTATGGTTTATTTGATTTTCAGGCGGTCCTAAACTTTTTTCCGGGAGCATATCTTAATATTTTAAGATCTTGTTGATTTAGGAATTATAAGATACCTAATTTTCTAAATTAGATTAATAAACTAGGTATGATAAATATGGGAAGGTTGCTAAGCAATCTTCAAATTCTAACGATGATGAAGTCAAAGAAATTTTCAAGAATTTCTTTCAAGAAAGGTATTAGTCGAAGGATCTTTGATCATTAAAAACAGTTCAATATACAATCCTTTAAAACTTGATCGGTTGAAGGCACATTTGTCATGGTCCATTAATGAAGTATTTTGGAAAAGCAGTAATTGTTTCAAGTCAGAAATGTCGCAATTTAAATTGAAGGACATTGAAGATTCAAATGGAAATCCTATCGCCGATATGAAACTCTGGTATTAAATTTTATTTTCTTTTTTATTTGTTGCACTTCCTTGGGAATTTATATTAAATGTTACTACAAATTATTTGTAATATATATATTTTTTAGACAGAGTATCTGAATAAAGTATACAAATTTGAATTTGCTTCAGTTATTGCATATGAAAGTATTGTTTCTGCTGATATTATCTCCCTCGAACTTAATAATCGTTTGATTTCAGGAGTCATGAAATATCACAAAGAAATTACCCTTTGACAATTGGGTATTGGATAACATATACTTGAATTTACCATTCTGAATCATGGTGTGATAATAACTCCTTATGGACTTGCACCTGAAAAGAAGCCCGTTTTGGAATTTTTAACTGCGCCATCCATTAAATCGTGCAATCAAAGCAATCAAACAAAAATAAAAATTGCACATTCTATTATACATAAAGAATTATTATAATTCTAAACATTGTATTGACTACGTTTGCATAAAAATTTATTTAGAAGAAATTCCATTTATATCACCTTTTAACACCACGTTTGCAAATGTCATGCAGTGTAATATCTTTCAAGAAGAAGTTATTATTACCATCTTTAACGAGATCTCCCAGAAAAATCAAATACAGTAGCGGTCATAAGTATCCGACCGCCTCTAACTCTGGCTACAAGTAAGTAAATTCAAAATTTTTTTTTTTAT